CACTAGCAAAGTCAGTACAAATTACAGTCAATGACTTGTTTATACTGCTTTATATACTACACACTGAAATGTAAGTATGCTATTTCTGTTCCTATTGATTTATTTTATAATTATATGGTAAAAATGAGAAAGTGAGCAATTTTTCAGTAATGGTGTGCTATGACACTTTTGTATTTTTGTGTCTGATTTTATAACCAAGTAGCTTGTAAGTGAGGTAAAACTTGAGTGTGCAAGACAAATCAGACCCCTGAAAGAGGGATAGTAGTCTGGAAAGATTCAGAACTACAGCCTGGATGAATGACACTTCAGAACTGCTCATGAGTGCATATAATCATGTTGCCCTCAAATTGAGGTCCTGTATTTCATCATTTTTTAATCTTATAAAATTAGCTTATTCACACACTGTTCTGGATCTGGTTCAGATTTCTTCTAGGGATGCTAAATTTAGATTAGTCAACTAACTAGTCAACCTATATTTAACAGGCAAAAGACCAGTGGGGATTCAAGCAGTCCCTACTCACCTCAGGTTCTCCCTCTCCCTTTGAAATGTAGCAAGAGCTTTTTAGTCTAGAACAGTGATAGAAATGTCTAGAGCATCTTTTTAGTCTAGAAAGCTGGCTTGAAATCTCATTACAGGCTCTCCTGGGATATTTTAAGTTCAACCTGCTTCTGTTCAGGCAGATATAATATAGCAATAGCCTTTCTTGTTATAATACTTCCTTCCTGTTACAATAGCGTATAACCAATTGATATACGGACATCTAGTGATGGTTTAATACACAGTCAGTTAGACATTTTTGGTGTTGTCAATCTTCAATAGGTTTAATGCACATAGTAAGTCATGCTGTCTTGCTATGCTTTTCCTGACACTGCCTCATTGGATCATCACTGGCTTCGGGGGAGGTGACAAGTCTGTGCAGCCCCCTGAGCAAGGTGGGGGGACAGCTTCTCCCGCCAAGAAGGGGCAGTGCCTTGGGCAGAAGGGGAGAGGCCAGGATCAGCCATCCCTCCACGCTGCTCAGTGCACACTGCCCGGTCCCCAGAAATGCCCAGAGTCTGCCGTGCAACTCTTGGATGGCAATCTAAAGGGACTGGGGCTCTGCTCATCACTGCTGCCGCAGTAGCAGAGGCAGCAGCTGAGAGCCCAAGGTCTGTTTCAAACATCAAGCCCTGAGACAACTGCCTCTTTTCCTCTTCAAACCCCGTCGGTGGGCCCGACTGGCATCAGGATTTACAGAAATGTATGAAAATAAGACTATGTATGAAAATCAAGCTATTTTGAACTTTGTAATACATTGAATGGAAGAATTTACATGTCACTTGTAAAAAAAAAAAAAAGGGACTACAAAATTGATGTGTGATTCCGGTTCAATGGAATCTGTGTGAGATGAGTAACTTTGCTGATACATTCTGAGATCTAATTAGGTACAGAAAAGGACACCACAAAAGATTAGGGATACAGAACAGCTTCCATATGAAGAGAGAATAAGACGACTGGAACTTTTCGACTTTTAAAAGAGACAATTAAGGAGGAGATGATAGAATTATGATGATATAAAATCATAACTGGTGTGGAGGAAGCAAAGAAGGAAGTGGTATTTACTCTCTCATAACACAAGAAATAGGGGGTCACCACATGAAATGAAATGAATGAAAGGAAGTATTTTTCATAGAACGTACACTCAAGCTGTGGAACTGTTTGCCAGAGGATTTGGGAAAGGGCACAACACTAACAGGATTCGAAGAACTCCATAAATTCATAGAAGACAGGTCCATCAATGGCTATTAGCCAAGACAGGCTGTGAGGAGTCCTCAGCCAGAAGCTGGGAATAGTCAGAAGGGGATAGATCAGCTTTTCTGATCAATCCCTCTGAAACACCTGCCGTTGGCCACTGTTGGAAGATACTGAGCTAGGCAGACCTTTGGTCTGATCCAGTATGGCCAGCGGTGACATATGGAGGACATGAAGGGTCACATGACCCCAAACGCCAAAGGACCAATTTGTCCAACTGTCCTGGGCCCGGGAGACTAGTGCAGGGGCATCTATTGCCAGCAGTAGGGTCCTGCCCTCGCCCTCCCCTCCCCACACACACACTCACTGAAACCAGTGGGAAGCACAGTGGCCTAGACCCAGCCTGCTCAATTCTGTCAGCTCCCAGCAGCTGTGGCCAGACAGCCCGCCTCCATCACATCCATCTTATTTGCCTCCTTGAAGCATACAGGACAGAGAAGGAGCAATAAAATCAGCATAGTCTATGCTGGCTCATCTGATCCTGAGAAGCTGAAACATAGATATGAGGAGAGATCAGGATATGCGAGACTGCCACCGGCTGGCACCTATGTTGATTCGAACACACACACAGTCCCTGGATGAGGAATTTCCCACTGAGAAAAGAATCCCCAGTACTTCCAATTTAATCATCTCAAATCTCTCTTACAAGTGTAAATTAAGTTCACAACTCCCTTGTAAGAACTGGTCTCACAGCAGACAGACCAGCATCAATTGGCATTACAGTTAAGAAAGAGAAAATACGTGACCCCATGGGTATAAAAGATGGGCCCAGCACACACACACTTTGAGTGTCATTCTACCCTCTACCTGCTGGTCGGGTTAGGTGTTTGACCTCCCGAGGTTCTATGGGGACGCCCACCTCGTATTTTCGTCTTTCCTAGGAATTGAGGGACCGGCCCTGGCCTGACATGCTGGAGTCGAGAGGCACAGAAGTGGGTAAAAATGGTACCTGGATGTGGTCCTCTGTCTTAAGTGTACACATAGAAAGAGTAAGCTGTTACTTGGTACCATTATTTCTATTTTTCTATCTTTAACTTCTTTGTAACCATTTTTAAGACCTATATTTTGCTAATAGTTAAGAAATAGAACAATAGCCATTGCAACCATATGATTTATAAGCTTCCTCAATAAACCTGTAACTGTTTAAATTTTAACCTGACTCCTTCAGTTGTTGTAACAGAACCAAGCACAATTTAAAAGAACTTCAGCCGGTCTTAGGGACAGATATAGGGAGAGCTTGGGCGTTTGGATTTGTGTCACACCCAGGTGGCACAATCCATTGAGGCACTCGTCAACCTCCTCCAGGTTGCCCGCTGCAAGGGACCCTGGTCTCAGCAGTTAAAGTCTCGAGTGTATAGTATACACACACACACCACTCACTGCCCTGACCATTGGTTGGCAGAACTGGGGCACTTGTCAACCTCTTCCAGGTTGCCCGCTGCAAGGGACCCCGGTCTCAGCAGTTAAAGTCTCGAGTGTATAGCGCACACACATACACACTGCCCTGACCGTCGGCTGACAGCAGCATTACAGGGGCAGGGGGCTTGGAGGATGGGGTGGAACTGTCCCAAACACTCACCAGCAGTGGGAAGTAGAGTGAAATGGCTGGGAACTGGGGGAAGGGAGCAGGCTGGGGTCAGGTTGCTCTGCTTCCCACCCCAATGTCAGTGAGTGCTGGAGGGGTAACCCCTGCTGCTAGCTCTAAAGCCCCTGCTACTCCCTGGACATGCCGCTTGGGAGGAGTGGGCTTGGTGGGGAAAGGTGAAGAGAGGGCATAGCAGGGGGGGAACAGGGGCAGGGAAGAGGTGGAATGGGGCAAAGCAGGGACAGGGGCTTTGAGGAAGAGGACAGGGCAGGAAGAGGTGGGGCCTGAGGTGGAGTGGAGGTGGGGCAGGAGTAAAAAGGAGTAGGACATCACTCAGTTAGGGGGTGGTGTTGGGAGGAGTGATGTGGTAGGGAGATCACATGGCTGATGCACCTCTTGTGTCCCTCTCCAGCAGGGTCCATTGAGAATGGCTGATTTACTATATAACACCTTGCAATATATGGAGTTTTGTTAAAACCTCATGTCAGCCCCGTAATACACGAGGTTCGAAGGGATGCCGGAAAGGAGGAGACCACAACTGGGGGTTTCAAAAAGCACAAACTGATTTTATTTTGATGGCGCCAGACAATCATCAGAACAAAAATTAAACAGATTGCCAGACAACACAAAACAATTCCCTGAGGCTTTTCTAAATCACAATAATTCCCAATAACTGCCCAGGGGTTAGGAACAGTTGAATTAACACTGGTATTATCCATAGGGCTGACTATTTACACAACTTTATACAAGGAAACAGTAAAAAACCTAAACCACAACTATTTATAAACTAACTTAGTAACTTTTTAGCCACTGTCACTTGGCAAGCAATAAGGACAACTAAAAAATCAATTAGGATAGGGATGATGGTGGGGGTGGAGGGTTATACCAGTTCTGGAGACAGCAGGAACACAAGTACCGGTCACACGCTCATAAACTGTCTCCACTCGGGTCGACCAGCTCGGAGTACGCTCAGTAAGACTCAAGAGCGGGGGGTGCAAGGCGTCTGGGTGATCAGGCCAGGCGTTCACTCAATGCGAATCCCCAGTGAGAGAGGGGCTGCCTGCCTGTTTTATTGCCTGTGAACTTATCACCCCATAGGTTGGTTTTTGCTGCAGTGGGTGGAGTAGCAGGCCTGAGCACCAGTCAGCCCACTGGCTGATCTGTTACTGCAATGGGTGGAGCGAGCAGGGGAAGATTATTAATTTACATGCCCTTATATGGAAAACACTCCACCTCACAGACAGAGCCCCCTATACCAGCCTCAGAGGTATTACAGGCTATGGCTCCCTGCGACGGGCAGCTATTTCTGATGTTCTGTTTCAGACAGTGGTCAGGGGCCAAGATGGGGATATGTGTTCCATCTATCACCCCACTGCAGTGAAGGCACCCCATCGAGACAAAGCCATCCACTA